GTGCAAATTACTGACCTCTGTCATCATTTTAAGTGGGGGAACTTGCACAATCGGTGGCTGACTAAATACTTTTTTGCCCCACTGTATATGTCACTATGTTTCATAAAGTCCAGACTACTAAACTAAATTACATATAAAAGAACATTTGAGTTGATTAAATTAACAATAAAACCAGGATTGTCAGTGGGTGACGACACACAGCAGAACATCATCAGCCCACTCTGAACCTGTTTTGTGTTAATTCACACAAACAGTGATTTTCACTGTTGATTGTGATCATTAAGTCATACATAATGAAGCACATTGAGCTGAGCTCCATCTTTGGCAAAGGCTATTAAAATAATAATTTCAGAAACAAATCATTAACAACTTGCCACTGATACCCTGTGACTGTTGCCACAGATACATTTGAACTTGACTTAGCTGTACGTTTGTTATAAACTGTAACCTGTACGTCTGCTGTAGGACTTTTGTGTTTTACACGTTTATCTGAAGTAACCCCTCAAAAACATGAAAGGGACACAATAACATTAACTAACTTAAGAGGGCAGTGGTAGACCAACATGTTCAATGAGGTAACGACAATGTTTGTGTCAAAGCCGGTTTTGAATACAGTACATTCATAGATATGGCTTCATTTCCCTGTTGGAAAGAACAGTCTGATGGCAGCTGTGAAAATACTCTTAATGTTGCAAACTGATTTATTGTGTTTACTTTTGGCTGCTGACTACAGCCACAGAAAGCACATTATTTAGATTTAAGGCTGATTCTCCAGCAAAGGAAGATGTGCAAAAGCTCCTCAGTATCCGAACTATCCCTTTTAAGAGAATAAAGTATTTTCTTTTGACAAAATCATTGTTGCAGCATTTATCCTTTTTATTTTCAGTTAGATGATGTTTAAACTATCACAGAACAATCACCATGAGCATTTTTAACTTCATTTTACTTTTGACTTTGACTTGTTGCTGAAAATGTATAAAATATTCTTTAAATTGAAAGGTAGAGGTGGAGGTTCTCACTCAGGTTTTTACATTTTGCTCTGTCTGTTTCAGCACGATGCCCAGATGGACTACTACGGGACTCGGCTCGCCACCTGTTCTTCTGACCGCACCGTCAAGATCTTTGACGTCAGAAACGGAGGGCAGATCCTTGTGGCAGACCTCAGAGGGTAAGAAGTAGGGCTGGCCCATATCATACCTTTTACGGTAATACCGGTATAATGTTGGGCAACAATAAGAAAATGAAATATTGTTATAGACTATGGATAACTGCATTTCGTTGCCC